AGTACTAGACTTAAAGAGGTAGATGTACCTCAGAACCTTGATTTGTTAAACAAATGGACGATTCCTAAAGTTTGTATTAAAACCATTTATGATTATGGTTGGTTTGATAAACTTTCTTCAAAACAATTGATAAAAATGACTGAACAGTCTTTGACGTTAAATTCTTCTGAATAGACTATTCATCTGTTAAGCAAACACGATACTGATTTATATAAACATCATTACAATTACCTGCATATTAGCATGGTTCAAATTGCGTTTGTCCTTCTTGGATGCAGCTTACATCTGCTCCACTATCAATCATGGCTATATCAATTATAGAAAAACTATTGTTAATCAAAATAGTACATTTAATGTACCACTTATGGGCAATAACAATTTGCATCATACCTAAAAACATATTAGGTTTTTCATTATCATTGCAATCAAAAATTTCTTTTCCTTTGTCAATAAAAAAATCAGAAATATATGTATATAATATATACATATAAGCTNTAAAAGCACGAAGGCCCTTAGCGAAATGTCGTTCGCCTTTTTTACCCTTTAAAAATATATTTTATACTGGACAAAATAGTCTTTCTAATATTTAGGACTTCTAAATCAACTAAAATTTTATTTATTATATCTTTCCTTATTTGGATTCTGTAGAAAATAATTTTAAAATTAATTAAAATTTTACCTTATATAAATTATTTACTTTAATTATGACACAACTATAACTATATTTTTTCTAATATTTAGGGGGGAGGGGGAATAGAATAGTCGAATTATTGCCATAAATCTACATTCAATTATTGGCCAAAATCACTTAGCTTGAAAATTCACTTTAGCTGTAGTATTCGTTTGGCAAGTTCGTTTAACATACTTGCCGCTGAATCTTTATATATACACACTATATTAAAAGCACGAAGCCTTAGCGAAATGTGGTACTTTTTTTTTACCCCTTACAAATTTCACAACGGCTAAAATTATAATTCAAGTTAATTTCCTAATATTTAAGACTTTAAAAATCAACTAGAATTTTGGTTATTAAATCTTTGCTTATTAAATTAGGTAGGAAATGCTAATATTTGGAACTTTAAAATCTATTAAATTTTTACCTTATATAAATCAAACAATTCATTTATAATATATTTGCTTATTGTATTTAGGCATACAAATTAGGCACACACATATATTTGATAAAGCAAAAGTTCCATACACGTTTCTTCCAAATTAAATATTTAAGCTATTGTATGTACGTGAATTTGTATAATTATTTTCTTAAAAACTTTACTTTTATCATAAAAGTGTAGTCCATGTTTTAACTATCTATAACTTTAATTCATTTTGACCATCTAAAAGTTATGTGTAATATGAAAATTTTAAAGGCCAAAATTTAGAACAATGCGGGAGAAAAATGTATAACATGTATTACAAATGAGTTGCCATTAATTTTTTTCCTTTTTTGTAAATATTCCAAAATAACATCCCCTTGTTATAAAATAAAGACTGTAAAGTAAAGACAAGTATAGAGAGAAACTGATATATTATTCGAATTCAAACTGATGTACATAATGAACTGAAATCTCTTCTATTTATAGAAGAAAGGAAGTTGTTGTGTAAGCTGCTACTATACCAGATATGGATAATCTTCTACTGAGAGCAATGTTTATCCATAACGGAGTACTAAAAGGATAAGCTTATTATACCCGATATGGATAATCTTCTACCGGGGGTAATGCTTATCCATAACTGGGTACTGAAAGGATAAGCTTATTATACCCGGTATGGATAATCTTCTACCGGAGGTAATGTTTATCCATAGTGGGTACTGAAAGGATAAGCTTATTATACCCGGTATGGATAATTTTCTATCGGGGATAATATTTATCCATAACTGGGTACTGAAAGGATAAGCTTATTATATCTGGTATGGATAATCTTCTATCGGGGGGAATGTTTATCCATAACCGGGTATCGAAGTGATAAGCTTCTTCAGGAAGCTTATTTCCAATAGAGTACTTAAATAGATAAACATATTTACGGTGGAGTCCCATATGGATAAGCTTCTTCAGGAATTTTATTTACAACGGAGTACTAAATGAACATCCATAATATAATATATTTATAACACTCCCCCTTGGATGTTCATTAAAAGATAATGTGCCTCATTGAAACTTTACTATCTATTACAAATAACAAAAATTAAAATATTTACATTTCTACAGATTCACCACCAATTACATGACTTGTTTCTCCTTCTGGGAGTGCAAGGTAATCAGTTACATCCAAATGCATGAAATCTAAATTATCTTCAGAAATAAAATTTGCTTTAGCATTTTTCTCTGTCTTTTTTAGAGAGGCTTGATAAAGCTCAACCAGGTGCTTTGGCGTATAACAGGTACGTGACCAGTGCCCTTTTTCTCTACATCTATTGCATGCATTTTCTGCATTTGGTGCTTGCACCGCTTTATGCTTTTGTTCCTTCCTTTTCCACTGCTAGTGGTGAGGAGTGTTCTTTGGTGCATTATTATTACCATGATTAGAGTTTCTTTCCCGACCACGACCATGACCGCGACTGGGGCCACGACCTTTTCCAGGTTTAGCCTGGTGGAAGTTCGTCTCATTCACTTCAGGGAATGGACAAGAACCAGTAGGTCGGCATTCATGATTTTTCATTAATAGCCCATTATGTTGCTCGGCTATAAGAAGATGTGAGATAAGTTCGGAATACTTTTTAAATCTCATCTCTCGATATTGCTGCTGCAGGAGCATATTCGAGGCATGAAAAGTGGTGAAAGTTTTCTCCAACATATCATGATCAGTAATATTATCACCACATAACTTCAATTGGGAAATAATTTTGAACATAGCAGAATTATACTCACTGATAGATTTAAAATCTTGTAGCTTTAGATGAGTTCAATCATATCGTGCTTGTGGAAGAACGACCATCTTCAGGTGATCATATCTATCTTTAAAATTATTCCACAGTATGACTGGATCTTGGTTTGATGCCTGATTTAATATTCCATTTTCAGGTCTTCATCAAGGTGATGGCGTAGGAATATCATTGTTTTGGCCCGGTCTTGGTTTGATGCTTGATTTTTGTCTTTGATGGTGTCTGCCAGACCAATCGCATCAAGATGAATTTCAACATCAAGTACCCAAGACACATGCTTTTGCCCGATATATCCAGGGATACAAATTCAAGTTTAGAAAGATTTGACAGTAATTAGGAAAAGAAAGTTCTTACCTCAGATACTTTCAAAATATTTGCTCGAGATGGCAGAGTCTCGTGCTGANTTATAAAATAAAGACTATAAAGTAAAGACAAGTATAGAGAGAAACTGATATATTATTCGAATTCAAACTGATGTACATAATGAACTGAAATCTCTTCTATTTATAGAAGAAAGGAAGCTGATGTGTAAGCTGCTATTATACCAGATATGGATAATCTTCTACTGTTTATCCATAACGGAGTACTGAAAGGATAAGCTTATTATACTCGTATGGATAATCTTCTACCGGGGGTAATGTTTATCCATAACTGGGTACTGAAAGGATAATCTTATTATACTTGGTATGGATAATCTTCTACCGGGGATAATATTTATCCATAACTGGGTACTGAAAGGATAAGCTTATTATACCCGGTATGGATAATCTTCTCACGGGGGTAATGTTTATCCATAATCGGGTATCGAAGTGATAAGCTTCTTCAGGAAGCTTATTTCCAATAGAGTACTTAAATAGATAAACATATTTACGGTGGAGTCCCATATGGATAAGCTTCTTCAGGAAGTTTATTTACAACGGAGTACTAAATGAACATCCATAATATAATATATTTATAACACCCCTATATTTTTTATACATTAAATTATTTGTTATAAAATATTAATTCAATATTAAGTCATTTTTTGAACTTATATTGTTACTTATTAAATTTTGTAGGAGTTATAGGCCAACCTCATCATTCTTATATCTATAAAACACCAAAAGAGTTAATTTATCAACATATATTTACAAATTTTTATTTTTATTTTTATTTTACAACTCAAACACATCGTTTAATACTACTTATGTGATTTCTTAAAAATAATTTACTTATTGATACAGGGAACACGCGCAAAGCGCATACCCTAGGACTAGTATATATATATAATTTAAAATAAATAGTCAAGGCCTATTTAGGTCCGTTTGGGCCCCATCCACATAGCCCAGGACCATTAATACACGGTCCCGGTCTGGTTACACCCAAAAGTCCATGAAGCCCGGGTTCGTTTAAGCCCGGCCCACGAAGACCGGATCCGTTTGAGGCCAGCCCACGAAGCCCATTTGGGACCGGGCTCGGATGCCAGCCTTACAACAACAACAACAACAACAACGACCAGTATAATCCCACAAATGGGGTCTGGATGCCAGCCTTACAGTAAACTATAAATCTTTAGAAAGCTTTGGCTCATAATCACCCATTTGAGTGGCAAGTGCACCGATAGTTATTCTCAAGGATGCTATTTAAGAATTAGTCAGTATTTATTTTGTCCTGAAACTTTAAACTAAAATTTTTTATTTCAGGACACCGCATGACATTTTTGTCTTGAAAATTTGAACCGAAAAACTAAAATTAAGGACGCAGACTAATTGCTAAATAGCAGCCCTTTAGAGTTGCTACCTGATGTCATTTCTATCCCATTTGAGTAAAGGGCAACCCGATGCACTAAGCCCCCGCTATGCGCAAGGTCCAAGGAAAAGCAAGATCACAAGGGTCTATCATACGTAGTATTACCCTGCAATTCCACAAGAGGTTGTTTCCACAACTCGAACTCGTAACCTCCTGATCATTCCTAACCACCCATTTGATTAAATATGTTAAAAGTCTAGAGAGAGAGAGAGTCATCTAGTGATGCCTACACCAAGTTATGAACATTTTTTTCTAAAATCTCTGTTATGACCTTTTAAACATGTTGAGAATTTAAAATGATTGAGATATATAAAGTGTAATATATACATGTTCCATCCAAAAGTTTGATGCATTACACGTTAACATTTAAGGTGCCATAGTTAAAATAAAACAAAATGAAAGACTAGTTATAAGTTAGCAATGTCCTCATTGCTATAAGGGCAAATCTATCTATAGTTCATCCACACTGAAAAATGGATTACAGTAAAGATCACACCAAAAGCCTCAAACCAGAAGGGCATTAAACATATTAAGTTACAAAATAACTTAGCAACTATACCTAGAGATATAACACTTAAAACATATACCTCCACATAGCTGGTCGATCTCTTGATATAAGTAGAACTCTACATGATAAGTAATCAAAAGAAGGAGAATACAAATCATCAGGTCCAATTGTTTCTCTCAGATTCTGCCCATTGTTCTGATCCAAAATGGAAGATTGCAATGCATCATCCTTATATGAGTCGAAAACAAATAGCCCAAGTCCACAAACTCCCATAACAAAGTTTGAGTTTCCCCAAACTTGTGTTAAAGCCATGTAATGAGAGTGAGCATTTGATTCTGGCAATACATAGCTGCTGCAAAGCCTCTGCTTGCGCAACGAGAACTGCTGGATCTGTGAGGAAACTTGTCTTTTCACTGCAGATTTCACAGTCGTGGAGCCGAGATATAGAGAGTCTCCACGGGAGAAAAGGGATTGAACATTTGCACCAACCTTTGGTATTTTTAGACCTATACCAGAAGGGTGACGGAAATCTAATACATTTATGGAATCAGAGGTGCAAAACACGCCATCATTTCCTTCCACTTCAGAGGAACTAACCCTGCATCCAAATATGTAGCTTTAAACTTTTGATACAGATGAAAAGGATATCGCATTAACTGAACTGAAAATTTGAACTTGGTTACTGTTCTTTAGAATATATAACGGTACTTGACATTGAGAAAACAGCATCCAGAAACTTCTTTGAGCCAATCATGTACACTAGTGCTACAGACCCGTGTGCTTGGTATAAAAGAATCTCCATATCACTACTGCTCCTTCAAGTTTGAAGCTTAGGCCTTAGAGTATACTCCTTGAATGAAATTAAGGGCAACATGACACTTCATAGCTTTTTCTACTAGTCCTTGGGCTAATAACCTGTTTTACTAATTTTTCCCTTGAATTCTAATAGAATCTATGATTCATCTACCATGTAAAGAGCCAAAGGCTAACTTAGTTTTGGAAACTATCAAGTGTTAGCAACATCATACATACATATCTTGGATCTTTTTGTGAGTTACATTCTTTTAAATAGACACAAGAAGGCAGCTCACATCCCCTATTCAACCACCAATCAGCAATACAAAAAAACCTTTTCAATCCCCTTGTGTTTTTATGTAAGAGTGCAAAGAGTCTTGGGTAGCACCTAATTGTAAGAGTGCAAAGAGCCTTGGGTAGCACCTAATTGGCATGGCTGTTGAAGATATATTACAGGTGGATGGATATGTTTACTTGTATCAAGAGAAATTTGATTACGATAGGTTCAGTATAAACAAGGCTTTAGACATTTTAAGCATATGTTCCCGAAGAAGCATGTCCAAGGCATGCAAGAAACTCATGAAAGAAAAGCATAAGAGGATAAAGTAATTTTGTCGAGTTCCAATTATTGTCAGGACATAACCAGGGAAAATTAGGAGAACTAAATCAGTTTTACCTCTGTCGAACTCCTCCACCTAGCTCAGCATCTGTATTATTTATATGAAGTGCAGAAATTTGGCGACCAGAGGATGATACAGAAAGCAGTGGTTGAGGACTCATAGAATTGACATCCCATAAAGAAAGACCCTCTGTCTCAGCTATCACTACTTTCCCTCTGCTTCTCCATTGCAAGGGACTTGAGTAATCCATAGCCAACATTGGTCTCTGTAAATCCCATTTCAGGATCTGCTCTCCATCGCGAATGTCATAAGTTCTGACCATCCTTTGACAACTAGCACCTGATACGATGAGTGGTCCACAAGGTTTGTACCACCATTGCTGATTTTGTGGTGCCATAATTGATGATAGAGTATTTCTCCTATACATTGGGTTATTGGGTAATGAAGCAAGGGGTGCTCTTGCGGTACTAAATCCATCATCGACATGAAAGGCTCGCACATCTCTAGTGTAGAAGTCCCAGGAACAAAAACCTGAATCCATGGAATTTCCAGCAGATGCTGCCACAACATATCTCCCTGAGGAACCATCTACACCAGGAGCACGAATTATCCAACAATCTCTCCACATATTTGATGAGACCCCAACAGGAGGTTTATACTCGGCTTTCTCCTGAAATGATAACAAATGATTATAAGGAAACATGTCATAGGAGCTGAATATATAACTAAAAACTTGGATGCTATAGCCCTTCCAAATTTCATCTAAAACTTAACAGATCAGAACATTATTAAAGCCACATATTAAGACTCATGTGTTAACAGGAGATATTATTATAAAAAGTCATGTGTGGGTTCATTTAACATCCTGATATTTGGAGAGATGGGAAGCTAGACAGATAATACCTCGCAATGCACGATATCATGGAAGGAGCAAGAACTGTCATCGTGCGTGAGGAGAACAGATTCTCCGTCAGAGACAAACCACCCTCCAGTAGAAGTCTTACGGCCAATCTCATTGAGCTCATATGTACAACTATCCTCCGGCTCTTCCTCCATGATCATATCTGGTTTATTCTCTTGATCATCAAAACTTTCAAGTCTCTCATCACTTGCCAGAAGATGTTCAACATTATCTTTTCCTTTGAGCAGTTTCGAAGAGGAATTTTGTTTTTCCAAAGTCACTGCATCATCCACGTCTTGAACATTGGTAATCTGCAAACAAGAATCCTCACACCTAGTAGTAACTTTAGATAGCTCCTTACTAAGAGAAGCCAAGAACTCCACAGCAATAGGGTTCTCATCAATAGGACTGATAGATTTCTTCTCAAGCTTCACTTCACCAGTTGATTCAACAAATTCAAGTTCCTCCCTTTTGGTACAGCCCATTAATGTCTTCAACGATGTCCTCTCTCTTAACAATTTATGGTGTGGGAACAACCTCGCCTCTAATTGCTCTACATTTAATCCCTTCACAAAGCTTTTCCCATCATCCTCAAGTTTTTCTTCCCTTTTTTCACTCAGCAAACCTATTTTGATGTCGCCATCAACTACATTACACATCACCTTCTCAACTCCAGATATATTCTCACCAGCATCCACATTTTCATTTTTACTGCAGCTCAGCAAACCTATTTTTCCATCACCATCAACTACATTACCCATTGCCTTCTCAATCCCGGATATCTTTTCTTGGATATCTGAAATGATCAACTTTGATGAATCAGGATTATTCATATCCAACATCTCCTTAGTCCTCTTAATATCCGTTGCAATCCTCTTCACTTTTCCATCTCCATCAACTACATTACCCATCGCCTTCTCAACTCCAGATATATTCTCACCAGCATCCACATTTTCATTTTTACTGCAGCTCAGCAAACCTATTTTTCCATCACCATCAACTACATTACCCATTGCCTTCTCAATCCCAGATATCTTCTCTTGGATATCTGAAATGATCAACTTTGATGAATCAGGATTATTCATATCCAACATCTCCTTAGTCCTCTTAATATCCGTTGCAATCCTCTTCACTTTCCCTTCTAAGAAGGCAAGCTTCTCGTGCAACTTACTTGGGTACTTATTCACACTCATGCCAACCTTTCCTAGTTCATTTACACATTTCTCTTTCGAAACTCCAGAATAACTATTTGATCTGGTCACCAATCTCGAATCTTTCACAATAGACTCAACAATATTACCACTCTTTTCAACCAAAGATTTCACCTTTAGTTCCTCTAAAACAGGAATTTGCACATTAGACTCAACAATATTCCCACTCTTTTCGACCAAAGATTTCAACTTCACTTCATCTAAAACAGGATATTTCACATTAGGATTAACCACACTTGATTTTACTGAAACTGAGCTGGAGCTAAGCTCTTTTGTATCACAAAATTTAGAAACTTTAACTTCAGATTTCTTGATTTTGTCAGACTTTACATCAAATTTTCCATAAAGTTCACCACTTTTCTCCATTTCTTTCAAAACCCTATTCCCATTTTCACTCACTTTGTCATTCAAAACCCTAGAATTCACTGAAACCTTAGAAACCCTGGATGTTTTCGACAAAGTCTTAGAGAACTCTGATGGACTAGAACTCCTACCTCTCGGCACCGACGACGTTGACCACCTCGCACGTGGCTCGCCAACTTCAACTGCGTTCGCCGTCGCGGATGACGATGCTGCCTTGTCCATTTTCGGCATGGCACGAAGCGTCGGTTTTTGATTAGACGACGCCGTCGCGGCTCGAACCCGAGATGTGGGTCTCGGGTTTTCTTTACCGGCAGACCGCCGGAGACTCTCCCCGCCGGTGGACGTAACGGAACCAGATTTGTTGGAAAGTGGGGTTAGGTTTTTGGTGGATGAAGGAGCGGTGATCTTCACTCCGGCGCCGCCGCGGTCTTTTAGCCGGCGAACTGATGATGTCGTCGACATTTTAATTTCTTTTTTTACTTTTTTGGTTTTTTTAATGTAAGGGAAAATGGGTTTGTGAATGTGTTTATTAAGGTTTTTGGAGAAGAAAAAAGGAAATGATTTTGAGTTATTGGTTAAGGAAAAGGCCAGAGATGAGATGGGTGAAGAATGAGCGGGAATTTGAGATGTTTGGAAAATTTTCAAATTTTTGAGATCCCAAGTTCAAATTTGCGCGTTTGGGTAACTTTTGTCATTTACATTAGAAGCCAAATAAGCTGAAGAAACAATTTTGATGGATGTTGGACACCAGGCAAAATTGTCTTCAAAATGTGACAATTTTCGGACCTCGGATGAACGCGACATATTTTATGCATCAAGTTGCTATTCAGTTGGACACTAGGTAGATATTGTCCTCTTAGGGGTGGTTTGGTATGAAGGATAAGGTGTGATAAGATGTGGGATTAAAATTATACCGTATTTGGTTGGTATAAATTTATCTTAGAATAAATTTATACTATCAATCAAACACGGTATAACTTTAATCCCAAACTTAATCCAGCATATCCCTTTTATCTCACCTTATCCCATCAAAGTTGGGATTATTTATCCCACTTTCCATGTGGTACAAATTAATCTTGAGATTGTAATCGTAAAAATAGCATGGGCTAGCCAGTTTTCGGATTGGTCATTCAAAAATAGTCAGTATTTGCAAAGTCATTGAAAAATAGCCACTATTTTGCTGCAACACGGGAAGTTCCAGCATAATATACTGGAGATCGGTGCACTTGTATATGAAGTTCCAGCATAATATACTGGAGATTGGATCACTTATTATGAACTTCCAGCATATTATGCTGGACTAGTATATTATACTAGAACTCATGTATATTATACTGGAGTTCCAGTATATTATGCTGGAGTTTTTTCCGTATTTTGAACAGTGTTTTCGTTCAGATTTATCTTTATATGAAAAGTGACTAAATTTCGATTACTTTTGAAACTGTAGCTATTTTTGAATGATCACTTATAAATCTGGCTAATTTTGAATTTCTCCCATTATAATCCCGATATAATTTAGTTCGCGTAACGACCCGTTTATTATATAGGTATTCCATTTGATAAGTAATATGTGTTTTAATGTTTTTTGTACACCCCTTATAAAATATTTAGTAACTTAGTCATATAAATATTTATTGAAACTATCATTATCTTTCCTTTAAATGCTTCGCTTAATTAATACTTCATCAATTATGCATATGAGTAAATTTAGAGAAAAAGAGGTAATATTACTTTCAAAAACGTCAAATGTTTTAAAATAAAATATGGGATAGAATGAAATAATGAACAATTCAGGACTTTTGAATGATTGGGAAATACGAAAATGGAATTCGTTGTTGATTGTTAAAATCAGGAATTTTTCTATTTGAAGCCAAAATTTCTGGAGGATAATTAGGAGATTAATTTTTAATTCAAGCAAATATTGTTAGTGAGGGATTGTAAAATAATTGACGATTAGTTAGGTTAAACATAATCCAATTATGTTCAACTGCGAATTAGTGCAAAGATCTGTTAGTATACGTAGATTTCTACTTTCCTTATGTAACCTTTTTCCTTGCAAAAAGAACCACCAGCATTTGTGCTAAAGTTGAAATGGCATTTCATGCTTGATACTGTTTGACTCAAAAGATATCGAAACTTTTTTTAACAAATTAATCAAAGAAGATGAAGGGGTAAATCTTAGTCAGACATAATTAATTCCAGATCAAAGAGCTAGTAGTGTGGATCGCATATAAGATAAAAGAAATGTAAATGATCTTATTGAAATCCAATAGTGTGTCTCTCATCGATCGATGGGGAGATAGCTTTATATCTTCTATAGATTACTTCTTTCCTATCTAGGATGCAAGAAGAGAGTTTGGAGGAGAGAAAGGAGGGAGCAGCCCCTTTCATCGAAGGTTCTTCCTTACTATATATAGTCGAGTCACCCTTATCCCTTGCTTGGGCCGACGCCTTCTTGCCTTCAATATGTTTCGGTCGTGACAGTCAGATTTTGACCAATACAGTTAGTCCCCCCGTCTGTCCGCGGGGTCGTCCCATGTCGGGCTCGGCAAACGGATCATGATTGCTACGAATTCGAGCGAAATCTTACCTCTGTCATTTCATTCCTTAGTTACATTCCTTGGGTTTTTTGGGGGGCGTTCTTTCGATACCCATGGACCGTTGCGGCAGTTTCGGAATTGAAACGTCGTTTGGTACCAAATCGCTATTTCGTGGTTACCGCCATTATGACATACGTTCCTGGGGAAGTAAAATGTTTCGTGCCCCATCAGACTCGATTGACGACTCTTGGGTTTTATGCTCGGGGAATTTGTGTCTCTTATAAATAGAGGGAGTTTATCATTCGATTGACACATTTCTTTACCTTTTACTCGAGAGAATTTTGCATATGTACCTTCTTTCTGACCCTCCAAGTTTTTGTTTACCCTTAATTAACTAAAAATCTCCGTCCTTTCTTTCTGTTGCCTTTCTGTCACCTCATCTAGGCAAAATGACTGGTGATTCCTCTCGCACCGATCTTCCTATCACAGTTCCGGCTACGGAAAGTGCTGCTCAAGCCACCGAAGGGGTAGATGTGGTGGAAGATGAGGAGGTCTCGTCGGTGGTTGAGATCCTGCCTCGCCCTGGGAGAGAGTTGACTCACTTCAGTACTCGCGTCGGGGTGGAACCGGAACCTATCCACTCCATTATGAGAGAAAGGGACATTGCAGAGTTTAAAGAAAGGTGGGGAATCCCCAATTACGTTGAAATGCAGTCGGCGGTGGGGAACGACATAGTTCACTTCGACTGCCCCGGGTACTGTGTGTTCTACGCCTACCCTTTTCTTATTGGGTATAAGCTTCCTCTTCCTTTGTTGGTGGTGGATTTTTGCCGTTTTTACGAGGTATGCCTCGCCCAACTTTCGTCGTATTTGTACAAGTTATTCCTTATGCTGCTTAAGTTCGCGGAACTCGCCGGTCGTGAGGTCACTTTGAGCCATATGCTTAGCATCTCCACCCCTCAACTTATTTGCGGTACGATGATTCATATGCGCCCTCGGGGGTCGAAGAGTCTGATGGTGAAGATGGACGACAAGACTAACCGTCGTTTCTACGAGAACTACTTTTACATGCGGACTGAGCACATTGTGGCGGACCCAACGGGATTCCCTAAGATGTGGAACTTTGCGCGTAAGTTTTTGTATTTTTAGTCGGTGAGATGCCCGACCGTTTTCTGTTACGGTACTAAACTTTATCATGTCTTTGCAGCTAAGAGATTGCCCCATCCGCCTGTCGAAGGTATTCGCGAATGGGTGAGTGTCATCCTTCCCCATACAGTGGGGGTTCGCATATTGTCGACCTTTTATGAAAGGTTTGGACGTAGGCCTTTTACAGGTGAGATGAAGTTTTTGTTTGCTATTCTTCCTCTCTTTTTACTTAGCTCCTATGTGTCGTTTGTCGATGTTAGGGAGAGTGCGGAGAGCAAGGTCCCCTCCGTTAGCTTTTCGTCAGCCGGCCTCATCTACTCACTTTGTCGCGGTACCCATCGTCCGACCTTCGTCGAGGGCTACTTCAGTTGAGTCGGCAGCCTTGGCTACTCTTGTGAGGGCCACTTCTCAGGCCGAAGTCCCGACCCGTATTGCTCGCCCGACAGGTGAATCTTCGTCTACTCAGGAAGAGGAGTGGCCGTCAAAGAGACAGCAAGTGGAGTTTGAGACTGCGCCCCCAATAGTGATTTATCTAGACGACTCTCCTATGACGGGATCTGGAGAGGGGGTTGTCGTGGCTCCCCCCATAGGGACGGAATCAGCTGTTGCCTTGGCTCAATCAGAGATTCCCGCCATTGTCGGTAGTCAGCAACCTGTCATGGCGGAAAATCAGACTTCTGGGGCCGCTGTTATAGTTTCCGATGTACCCTCATCCTCTGCAGTTAGTTGTGCTTCCTCTTCGGCTGCCGAAAGAGGGAAAGGCATAGTGGTCGACGATTACAAATCCGAATTTGACCTCGACCCTGATGATGTCATGATGTTTGAGGAGGGCCTTACTCACTGGGTGGTTCGTGCGAGAGGCTCGGCTTGTATTCTTGAGATCCCTTCGGATACCAATCTTTTGAGGGACACGGAGGATCTGGTAAGCCGAGAATGCGGCCCTTCGGTCTGTTCCTGATGTCGATTTGATGGATGAGGTGGCCGTTATGGGCTTAAGGGTATTTTATGCTTACTTTCGCTTTTCCCTCGCCTTTCTTGATGATACCATTCTAACCCGTATTTATATTTTTCAGACGTATATGGTGGAAGTGGAAAGCATTCGTAGGGCCAACATTCGGGCCAAGATTTTCTTGAAGATGTTGGAGAAATATCGTCGCTACCGCAACAAGTGCCACGAGATGCATGAGCGGCTGAAGGTAAACCCCAGCAGTCGGGCTCTTGGTGAGGAGTTGGAGAAAAATGACCAGGAGTTGATGCAAGCTATATGCAGCAGGAGTGTGCTTGAGGAGCAACTTCGAATGAAGGACGAGGAGCTCAATGTGGGCAAGGGAGTCACCATGGAATGCGAACATCTGCAGGAGAGATTGAGGTCAATACAGTCGGAGATGGATCAGAACCTGATCAAGGTTGAGGCGCTGAGCGTGGAATGGATAGGGAAACACTGGAAAACAAGGTCGCTGGGTTAGAGAGCATCGAGAGTGCTTGGTCCGTGGCTTCGGCGAGGGTGGCGGCCCTGGAGTACACCATCTGCATCCTCCAGTCCGAATAGGAGTTGGAAAGAGCGATAGATACCCTCATGGAGGCAAGGCTTGAGGAGCGCATCAACAAGATTGATCAAGAGGCCTCGGTTCTGGGAGATCGGGTCGCAACACTAGAGGCAAACAATGGGCGACTGTTGGCTCAGATTGAATCTTCATCCACCGCCGTTCCCCGCCATATACACGAGCTTTGGGTTTACACCGAAGCCCAGTGGGATATATATAAGAGTTTGTGGGAGGCAGGTACTGTGACTGAGGCTTCATATGAAGGAACGCGAGTGAAAGCGCGAGAGGCTCGCGTTAATTGCGGGTATGATGCGGCGACGCCTGAAACTAATGAGGGTGCGGATGATGATGAGGGAGGACTTCTTGGAG